TCGCCATCACGCGCGCGAAAGAGTGCCTCTACTTCCTGAAGAACGTGCCGCGGAACGCGCGCTTCGAGGACGTCCTCTTCCCGCCCGTCGGCGACGACGCGCTCGGCGCGAACAGCGATTGCGACGACGACGCGCCCCCCCGCGCCGAGTTCGACTGGCGCCAAGCCTACCGCGACTCCTTTCGCAGCGGGTCCGACGACGACGACGACGACGCGGCAGCCGAGCCGCCGGCGACGACGGCCGACGACCTCGCGATCCTCGGGTTCCCGCCCGACGCGTCGCCGGACGACGCGGAGATCCGCCGCGCGTACCGGTTGGCCGCGCGCCGCGTCCACCCCGACAAGCGGACCGACAAGGAGGCGGCGACCGCCGAGTTCCGGCGCATAGCATCCGCGCGGAGCCGGCTCCTCGGCGAGGAGGACGACGACTAGAGCCGGCTTCGTAGTTACTACCTCCGAGGTATCCTAAATGGGATTTCGTGAGACGGATCAACCAAATTCGATTAGTCGATCATAAAACACAAGACGCCTACGGCATCTTGCCCCTGCCGGGGGGGCTTGCCTGCGGCGCGGCGAGAGCGCGCCCTTCGGGCGCGCTCGCGCGAGCTGAGCCACTCATTCCCGTGTCAATGCTTCCCTCTGCACCGCTCGCGCGACGACAGCCATTTAATTTCCGTACGGCGGGGGAACCGGCACGCACAACTCACGCATATATATATGGACGTGCAATTACGTTGGATGAATGCATCCGCATGAAGTTCTGCTCTATTCCAACGTTTCTGGAGCAAAAGAGTGGCCGAAACGAGCGCGGCCCAGCCCCATGTTGAAGTTCAAGTTGAATAGGCAGCCCTATGTTGAAGTAACCTGTGGTCGTCAGCAGCCGCCGCCGGGCAGTGTGTGGGCCGCAGGGCTTCACGGATGTGCTCGGAGACCGATGGAGCGGCTTGTCCGGTGCTCTAGGCGCCTCGAATGGCTCATATGGACCACTCGATGTCCATAACTGCAACATGGGTGTGGTGAAGTTCAACATAAAATTACCATAACCCGGCCCGACAGCCATGGAGGGCATCGGTTG